TTGCTATCAACTTGACCTTTCCAGGCTCTGAAGAAGGCGAAATCCGCCGAAACGTCAGCTTAATCGTGAACAAAGAATAGTAACATCTCGAGTTTGCTCAACAAAAATACGAAAAAAATCACTTGATCAATGCCGAGGTTAATAGAAAGTCGGTCGTGGCAGTTACTAGAACCTCCATTTGCTCTACTATCTCGTAAATATCATCAATAAAAGATGTCTCTTTCGTGTATTTTCAGCTCAGCATCAGCTCGATGATCTGTGGATTTGCCTCCTTATTGGAATGTTGCCATAGTTATAGTCAACAACTGAAAGTCTTCACTACAAGCCGTCAGCGGATGGTGTCGATAAGAGACAGGTTATCTGCTTACCGACTAGAATTTTTTAGTGCTTCGTAGCGATTTCTGCGAATAGCCAACTTACCGGCAGACGTAATAGAGTGAATTCACTGGAATAAGTTAAAGGACGTAACCGAACAAGAGAAAAACTCGAGTAAATGCTTCAAACAGAAATACCGTGTATTTGGACGTCTTAACATTTTAGGAATAAGAATCAGATATCATTAAAATCATATTCGTTCAAAAAGCAGTAAACTATTCTGCAACCGATTTGTCAAAATTGTCGGATTAGGAATCTCAACTCTTGAGCTATAAAGGGTATTAAAATACGGTGCGTTCATTCTGAAGACACTTTTCACTTCTATCTCAAGGCTCAGCATGAAATTGGCTTATTATCTTCATCGCTTCCGCCGCAAGAGAAGAGAATATTACAACGTTCGGAAACCGAAATCCGTAAATTACCATCAATCTTTTTCTTTTGAATTATTTGGTTCGCTTTTGCGAAGCTACCGCGGTGTCGATGAGAACAAGAGATTTGCATTTAAGCACGCAAAACTCTGCAAAGAAGCCACTGAAGAAGATGGTCATTATGGTGTGAAGAACATTTCTTCGACTAAATTACAGAGTTTGAAGAGAATAACTACAACGTTTGACATAACTTTGCCAAATAGATGAACAATGTTGGCGATCACTGATGTCCAGACGAAGCAGTCACTGCATTCAAAAAAAACAATGGAGAACATGATCCACGGAATTCTACTGTGATTTCATCAACATCTAGTCGATCTTCCTCTACAGCAACCGCTAAGAATAGGTCTGTCGCTAATGCAGTTCTCTCTAGAAGTGCTTCAAACTATCTATCACACTGAAAAAGACTAAAAAGTACCCGCCCCGAGAAAATTAGCATAGAACCTATGAAGAAGCTTCTGTCAAGGCTCATTAACGTGCTATCGCAGCTTTCTACATGCTGACACAAATTAGGGTATCAAGACAATAAGCAAAGGCAAAAAATTCGTATTCGTTCGAATTCACAAACTTCAAGGCAATTTTCTGTAAAACAACTTAACACCTAAGCTCGTAAGAATGACCTTATCTTTTTGACAAGCTAACCCAAAGTTGTTAACAAACATTTATTCGGCTAACGTTTCGATAATTCGTCCTTGAGGATGTTCGGAAATATGGCTGTGCTCCAATAGCACCGCGTTTCACATCCATATTGTCACTTTTGCAACGGCGTGTGTGGCGCAGTGGTCGGAGGCGCCCCGCAACACTCTTGGAATTGACCCACGCGCACATAGCCAAGTCCTCCAACTCTTCGGGTTCGGCAAATTGGTACCAGACTTGTCTGGGAGGATAGTAGCATTGGCTCGATACGTCAGCAGGCCACTGCGAGTCATTGTAAAAGCCAGATATGCATTCAATCACCTCCTAACGATGTTTAGTGAAGTCGAGTGCAATGCGCATCACTCAGGGATAGATCAACGCCGAAAGCCTTATCCTTTGTTTTATCCTTTTACGTCTCAATGTCTTCGTCTTCTTCAGAGCCGACGATCCAACTTGATGATCCGCAGTCGTTCGTCCTCACAATGTTGGGTCATCGCACTCGCATCTAGGTGAATCTTTTGGAATACAGCACCGCTCGAATGAGAACATCACTCGGCCGTGTCGCTTTTGAAAAGGACGGTTGTTGTTGATGCTCACTGCCTGTTGATAATAATTTGTTTTCCAGAGGACAATCCATCCTGCAGCAATCGGTGCTGGATAACCTCGCATGTAGCGAAGTAATAATATTGTAAACCAATTTCATTCAACATGAGGATTTCGCTGGAAGAACTAAGCTCCATGGTCGCCTTTAACAGTGGCGTCGACATCGGAACATTAAGCACCAAGCGCTAGTCAGACGAAACTAATGAGAACCGACCTTGACATTTTATACGAAAACACCAAGCAACGGTTGATTTTGAATAAAATGATGCACACGAGAAATGTATTTGTTCCTAATTCTTTTACAGGGACTCAGCGGAACCGCTTGCCTAGACAGGCTGTCGCTCTGAGAAAAAAAGAGGGTGAAAGGCTCACGTGAGCATCGAAGACGTAAGGCGGAAGGGGAAGAACAAACTGTTCCACTCATATTATCCGTTATTACTACGTCTACCTAAACCTAGGTAAACTAGCTCCTGTGTTCGCATGAGGGTGCGTGTTACGGCATGGGTAAAGATGCTCTACAGGGCATACTTGGTCATTGGTGTGATAGCCCCCTCTGGCTTAGCAAAACTCTCCCCAGCATAGTGGGCACAAACTGGTATGAGGAATAAAAACAGAAGTTTAATAGGTTGCTAGCAATCTGCAGGTGATTTTATAGGCAAAATATATGTTAAAACACCTCTGCGAATAACTTATGATATCTTCTATCCTTTAAGAACAAAAATGCGATCACCCTAATCAAACCTTGGATTAGAGGATTAGAGGGCAATTCCAGCTTAGGTTTGCAACACGATCAAAAAATCTGTCTCAGATATCTTTCTCTGAAATCATGTTCGTCAGAGAGCTATGAAGTATCAAACATGCAACACGAAGATCACAATAAGAGCTGCAAAGATCGTCACTACCAAAATTCTTCACGACGATCCCTAAAAGTTGTGCGGTACACTTCGTGTCTTCGATCGAGTAGAACCCAATAGATAAATGTGGAACAAGACAAGGATGAATGGAAACTAAATGGCGGCGTCTAGAGTCTATTCACAATTGACCGGAAGGGCATTGTTGTTCGGTTCTGTACTAGATATTGAAGAAGATAACCAGGAAAACCAATCTTCTACCAGACTGACTCAGAATGAAAAAATGGGATAAAAATTTCAAATATATTGTAGAATTAATAATCGAAATTATGGAAAAAATGCTAAAAGAACATCACGATTCGATGGAAATCTGACATAATCAAATCTTCCTTTCAAGAAAGGGATCCAACAGTGGCATGATTAATGCGAAAAAGAATAAAATAGAGTTAAGTAGAGAGACAGTTTTGATTAAAAACTATTGGCAGATGATTTTCTTCAACAACGACTTCTAAATCTTTCCTTGTCGTCGTTTACTATACTCAGATCCTACACTTGCTTTTTCTTTCATTTTTGTTTTCGACAATGGAGCACGTAGCCATTCAGGTGTTTCTTAGCTACAGTAAGAATTACGGTGTACGTTGTTTTTCACAGCAAAAACTCATCAACGTCATCCAATTCGACTACATTTGAAGGGATGCAATCCTAACTTCACACGCGGAATCACTGTGGAAGCTCCACTTGGAGTGCGAGCCCTCAGTGAAATTACTGAAGTTAAGTGTATAGTGACATTGAATTATAAAGGCAGACAACATAGGTAATGATCACACCACGATCACAAGAATCTTGTACCTGATCGTAAACATTCAGTTGTATGGTGTCTGTAATCGATTTCGGATCATCGGCACCACTCACTGGAAGTGACAAACTGTGCTGCCAATTCGGATGGCGTCCAGACCCTTCATGCGTACACATCGAGTTGTTCTGCAAAGAAAAAACGCAGATGCTACAAAATAATGAAACTTTTGTCAACTAAAATGTACTGCGGCTAAATGTTATACAATGGACTATAGGAGTCACTTGCTATTGCTCAGTAAGTGTTATGTTATGTCATGTCGTGCCTTCTTCTTTTCAACCAACGGTGCATGCGTAAGAACTATTAACTATGTAGTCACTCTTTCAGTATAAATTACAATGTACTGATAGCATCTATGGGTTGAACGACAGCTGAGAGACAGGTGAAACGAAGGACCCGCGCGGTGTGGTGGTGAACGCGCTACTCCCCGGAAAGAACAATAGCGCGTTCGTTCCCCACCGCAGACACCTACGGTCCGGAGTTTTCCAAATATCTCAGCGTCATTGAAGTTATGTAGTCACTCTTTACCTACAATTTATTCTTTTGATGGCAGGGTATGATGCGAAATATAACCACAGTGATGCTGGGATATTTGCAAAACTCCGGACCGCAGGTGTCTGCGGTGGTGATTGAACCCCCTATTACCCTTTCTGGAGGTTAACATCTTCACCACAACACCATGCCGGTCCTCTGTTTCACCTTTCTCTCAGCTGTCGTTCAACCCATAGATGCTATCAGTACATTGTAATTTATACTACAGCTTCAGCTCAACTGGGTTCAATGCTGATTTGTGCTCCCCAGATCAACCTCGTTGACGGGTGAATGCTGATAGCATCTATAGGTTAAAATAAGGCTGAGAGAAAGACGAAACGAAGGACCCGCATTGCGTGATGTTGAACACGTTAACACCCGGAAAGGGTAATAGCGGGTTTGATCACCACCGCAGACACCTGCAGTCCGAAGTTTTACAAATATCTCAGCATCACTGTGGTCGTATTTCACTGTTATTTAACTAATTTCTAGCAAAAAAAAAGAAATTCTTTCTATGAATATAGATCTTTGAAGAATTCCTAATTCTATAGCAAAAACATGCCCCAATTAACGAAAAAGCACTTATGCCAAATCATATCCAGAATATTGCCCATCGAATTACATCCCACCTGGAATGAAACCTCAACAAAAGGATGAATTTGTCCATCATTTCTGGTAGACAAATTCGCCGCTACCTGTACATTCACCATCAGTTGCAGTGTTGTAGAAAGATTCTAAATCATTTTTATATAAAATCAGCCAACATCGAGTAGATAGTAGGAAAATGTACCTGTTGTCGAGGTACCAATCGACGCATTGGTTTCAGTTTTCTTGACACGTCTGCAGGACCGAAGATTGTACCAATAGCACCAAATACACCGGGCAGAGGCAGAGGATCCTCGCGAACGATTTCCGAATACGTCAGCTCGGAGGCATCATGTTCGCGTTCCAGTAACCTCTTTCTAAATGAATTTCAACTAAAGGAATTGCCACGTTCATAAGTGATTTTAGAGTGAAAAGCGCAATGGCTAGAGATACTGTGCAATATACGCATGGTCGGTAGTTCGACCTCACACAGATGATCCGTCCGGGAATGACTCCATTGTACAAAGTTTGTTTCGAAAAAAAAGTTTCTTGCACTCTCATGTGCTATTTCACGTTCTAAGAGTTAATGGCACCATGAAGCAGGCAAAGTCCTGAAATAGCAGTTGAAGCCATACAGAAATTCTCGCCTTAAGTTTACTGCATTTGCTAAGCCAATGGTACGCATACTGTCGACGATAGTGCGGAACGTTGTCCTCTGAGGGCGATCCTCGCCGTGAACTATGGAAGAGGCGTCAGTGTCGGCCGTATCAACTGGTATTCTGTAAAGAGCCCACGCCATGAACGCTTAAGACCAAATAAAAATCGTGGATGTCAATTTAGGATGCTTTTAACAGCTGTTTAGTACTTCGCTAACCGCAGTTAAACATAAATGCTACACTAGTCGAAAAATGTTCTTCATCCAGTTTTCAAATTGCGGAGCTTACAAATCTTCGGAACGGTATATTTCCGGTCTTGGTACGACAATGAAGACGCCACGTCGAGACCACGAACAACTGTGGACCACTAACACGGATCATCAGCTCTGATGTGGACGAAGACGTCGAAACGCTTGTCGTAATAAATATGTTTATTAATCAAGCTCGTGTAAGCTCAACAATTTGAAAACATGTTGATTATTTTACTACCGAGGTTAAACGACGGTCGGTTTGAAAATTGTTCGTCATCCAAATGTTTTGCAGATAAAGCCCAACTATTCTCCTTTATCTTTGTCATATGTAAAAGTTTCTTCGTTTTCTATACTATCCTTTAGTCTGCTAAAAAACAATTTAACCCGACTTAACCCAACGGCATAGGATATCTAACAATCAACTGACCTTCCGACTGCATTTCGGTTCAGAAATCTCTTTTCCAGTGCATCCCATCGTGAATTCGATTCGAACTCTTCATCACTGATCAAACGAACCTCAGGTGGTATGAGTGAGAACGATTGCGCTCGAGCAGACTGTAAAAACTGACCTTTGACTATTTAAATACCATAGGAAACGATACGGTAGGAGGTGAATTTCAACTATCGTTTCAATTTATAACAAGTTTGCTTGAACTTATGAAGACATAATATTCACCATTTCCATACGAAACTCGTAGAACTATTAATAAAAAAAACTTCTGGTTCAATTGGAAACTAAGAACTATCCAAAATCGTAGTTATTCTTCTAGCAAGTTTACCTGCTCTGGTAAGTCTTTCCCGCGACGTTCTTCTATTCTGCTTTCCGTTGACCAAGTAGCTCGTGCAAGAAGAAATCCAGTTACTGTTCTGACATATCGAAACAGTAATCATTTTTTAACCGTACGGTAAATTATGTGGTAATACAACAATTTGACATGCAACATTCCAAATGTTTTGCCTACAATTCTAAACGTACTTGTCAACACTTTCGAATGGAATACGATGTGGTAGTTTACAATTTTTTGTAGTTTCGTCGTCATCAGGTAGCGGAATGTTCACCTAAATGAAAAAGTCAGAAGTGAAACCAAGACAAGAAGGAGACCTTAAGTAAGCCGAACTCCAGCACTGAACAGCAATTATTGCCAAAATGCTCTTGCTGAAAGTAGCGCGGGATATGACAGGCATGAGAAACCACAGACATTATAGCTGCGCTATTGCAACGAAAAATACAGCAGATTAAATAACGGCCTTGGTAATCCCCTCTGATTGATCCAAAAACACCTGCAAACTTCTAACAAGAAATGGCTTTTCCTGAAAATTCACAGCAGTTAGCCTAAAGGATATATAACCTATACTGAGAATGATCAAAGCTCTGCGAAGAGAGGGCGAAAGCCTACTACAATAAAGCCCAAATACTTTAAAAGCTGAAAATGAAAAGAAGAAAATCGGGTGACTGCTGGTGGCACAATATCGATAGAACTAGTTGAGAGACAGACGAAACGATAGACGCGCATGCAGTGGTAGTGAACGCGTTACTCCCAGAAAAAACAATAGCGAGTTCGTTCCTCACCGCAGACACCTGCGGTCAAGAGTTTTGCAAATATCTCAGCATTATAGAAGAAAAACTGTTAACCAGCCTTTGCGATGTTCTTCCTGTTTGTGCCTTGTTTTTCAACAATTGTAACGTGAATCGTTTTCGGTTCTGACACAATCTAAATAAATCTTGTGATCGAATATTTGATGGAATTTTACTTAAAAACTTTCAATCAACTCTTGTGTAAGCTTTCGTCAGAAATTACAGTGTATACCTATCATTTATTTATCGATTTATGCAAACCCGTTTTCACGTTTATGAGGATACTAGCACTTCTTCCATTCGCTTCGATGTTTTGCATTCGTCATCCACGAACTATTCGCTTTTTCGTGTCACTGTAACTACTAGTTGAAGAGTCCAGCTTTTTAACACATATCGTTGCCTGGTAGTCGAGTTTCTTCTTCTTAAAATAACTCAATAGCCCCGCTAGTTTCCTCAAGACCTCACCACAGATAATTGCCGAACTTTTAAAGCACAGAGAACTCTAAGAGAAAAGTTAAGCACCATTATGGTGATCTACAACGCGTGCAGCATTTCGTTGATCCCGAGAGAGGTCGAAACAAGGATAATACGTACATTGCGCCACACTGCCAACCGCTACACCTCCCGTGTTCTTTTGCCATGAATATTTCTATATGAGCCTTATCTCTTTCCATTCGCAATGAATTAAGACGATGCTACATATTTCCTGCATTTGTATGCTTACAATAGAAAAGGAATTGCGAAAAAAAATATATAATGACTACAAGGCTACGTGGTGTAGCGGTAATGACAATGTTTAGTACCAGCAAGGCTGTAATTTGACCTCACTTGTGTCCTCAAACCCTCACAATCCTGTGAGTTGATAGACTGGTACAAGACTTGTTGAGGATCAGTTCTGTTCCTCCAATCACAAAAGTTAGACAGTGTCCGTTATGAAAATCTGGGAATGCCGTAGCACGACAGTCCCAGGATTGCAGGAGAACCGACTCGATCAGCACTTAACGACATTCAAGGGACCAAAAACCTTCATACAACAGTCCAACTCAAACACGAACCCAAAAACCATCGTAAGTGACGGATACAGCGGAACAAATCGATTGCAAGAAGTACTGGGATCCCCACGACAGTGATGTTAGGTCGGTTGAAAAATTTGATTGCTGGCTCACCTCTAAATTATACAATTGATCAAATCGATAGTGAAAGCCTTGCAACGGCATCGTTTTTGACTTACAAATGAAGATATCATTGAAATACAGTGCCACCTGGATCGATTTTTGCCTCATTGACTCTAAATGGTAAACGCACACTCAGGCAGAGAAATATATTTCAAAAAGAAAACTAAAGAGAAAACCCCAACAAGAAACTGAAACCTTTTTTACAGGGGTTATTCCTCTAAAGTACCGCATTAAAAATCTACCGATTCGCTTTCGTTCATCAGTTGGCAGAGCGGCCAAAGGCGTAACTGGATTGTCCGCCGTTAATTTGCCAAGTATCGTTCTGGAAAAGATGGCTCAATGATCTCTACAGGTGTTCATTCATTCAAAAAGCAGATAAATTTGGCTTTCGTCTAAAGCCGTTGCATTTTCCGATGCCATTCTTCCTTTACTGGCCACTACAGTGGTCACAGGAGCCAACAATCGGGTCTCGTAGCGAGTATGTGAACAGACTTTATACAGCGGTGGCAGTTTCTTCCTGACCAACTAGTCTCTTGAGATTTTGTTCGTATTTTTGTTGAGCAAACGCGAGGTGTTATTATTCTTTGTTCACGATTAAGCTGACGTTTCGGCGAATT